TAGGAATTTAAAAATACGTCAATGTAAATTACGTAAAAATGTTCAACAATAATTATTATCAGATGATTAAACAATTTCGGGTAAACGAAAATACCTATTCATACGTATATATATACATATAGGTTTAGGTGATAAATGCTTAATAATATTTACCTAGGATAACGAAGTGCTTATATATACAAGTACAAATAACACGGCATTCTACACGTTTAAGTATCTAATATTAATAATTGTAATAATATTATACTTTCTAAACCGTCTGATAGACACGAGTTATAACATCTTAAAATGACATGCCATCACACCCGCATGTGTTTGTCTCCGTTCGAAAAAGTCATTCAAATTTGAAATAATGAATAATTTATAAACAATGAGAACTTTTTCGTAGTATTTGTGACATCGAAAAACATAAAAGCGATGTTGCACGGTAAATGTTTTCATCTTTATAGTGTGATCGTGTTGTTTCTTTAGTAATGCCTAATGACTGTATTTATTCAGTAGCCTTCTCAGTTATGTATCTCGTCAATTAGTTTATGCTTTGTTGTAAGTTAGTAATACACGTGCGGGATGTGATGTTCTCCTCTTAAAAAAATATATTGATGGGAACCCAATTGGTTCGGCTTCACTGACTGTATCTAGCCACAATTGAATCGAATATGATGTTGCAAGCCTTGCAGCTGTGACATCTCGAATTGCATAATATTTTAAACCCGATAAAAAGTCGCGGACGCTCTCRCCAGGTTTTAGTTAAGACATTGAGTAGAATTTAATAATAATAAGATCAWCACTCACCTTTAGCTTCAACAGCAACATTATTGAGCATAYGATTGCCGTTAATAGCTTCATTTTTATAGTACGCAATCCTTGGACCATTCATACATGAATGTCCAGGTCCGAGATTTGACATGTACTTATAAATAAAAAATCGAGCAGTTTGTGAATCTAAAACAATAATGGCRCCAATTGTCTGATAATAGTGAACGATATTATTGACGTAACCATGAAAAGTGTGTGTACCAATGATTTTTATCGTCAGTATAATCATCGTCTCTTCCTCGATAATACGCTATACAATAATTATGGTACAATCAGAGAAAACCGTAAAATATTCATTGGTAATAAGAATAACKAATAAGTAATAATACAAGTGCCTACAAATAAACAAATAGACAAATATGATCAACTAYGGTTTGGGCTGGATTTTATTATCGTGTCCTCTCCGCGTGGTAATGAATGYATTTGAAACAGGTTTTAAAATGTCAAAATATAAACAAACGTCGGAAAGACGGTATCGTGTATAAGTTGCCTTTGTGTGGTGTATCGGAAGAATGACGTATGTTTTTGGAGAACCTTAAACTATTGACATATTATAGCAAATATATTATACATACTAATGCACATACTCACTTGCAGCGCCGCAACTAAAYCATTTTGGGCCCRTGTGTAAGTAAATGAATGGGCCCTCACCCCTCTTAAAAATTGAAAAATTAACATATTGACTATTATAAAATTTATTTTTCCAAATATGAAAACATACTTTGGAATTTTGAGTTATTACTCAATACTCAATACTCCTTTGCATGACGCGCTTTAATCAATTGCAACCAAACTACCAAACTATTTTTAATTTCGGTTATGCTGCATAAGAAACGTTAATGTACAATAATGTTGTGTACAAAACAAAAGCGATCTATTGCTCAATCTGTATTAATAATAATTATTATTTATTATAACAAAATAGTTTTATTTTATTTCTTTCTAGTTTCTATATATTTTTTAATTTTTATCATTGGGCCCCCATTATGGGTTGTTGCCCTGGGCCCGTGTGTTTGACACACGCAACACACCCGGTTATTGCGGCACTGCACACTTGGCACTACCTTTAAGGTAATTGACATTGCCAGAATGGTAGATTTTTTTTTTAAATTATAAATTTCAATTGTATATATTATGTAGGTAGGTAATATTTATCACTAGTTACGCCTTGTCAAGTTTTTAGTAAAAACTCGGCCGTATAAATACAATATTGTGTACAACCCATCACTGAATACTTGATTTTTTTTTAAACAACTCACACGAGTCAGTTTTTCGAACGTGAAATTTAGTCGTCATTACATAATCACATTTTGTTTTATGAGTATTACGAATTTATATCGTACCTATAGGCCCCTACCTAGTGCCTACACGCGTAAGCGCACTACTACAGCAATAGCGTACTTCGTGCCTACTCGTGTGTCGTGTATCAATAAACAAACGTGGGAAGCTGATGCCTAACTTAACCTTATAATGAACGAAATACTAAAAATATATTTACTCAAATGATTCTCGCAGGGATGTATTTAGGAATTTCTTATGGGGGGGAGGGGGCACAAGCAAAAAGTTTAAATTATACACACTTATAACTTATCTCATATTTGCCCACACAAAAAGTTGTCATCATTCATGACCAAATAATCAAAATACAAGTATTATACAAAAATATTTTAAATCAGTTATATAGGCGTGCGCAGACTTTATTTGCAGCAATAAGATAAATAGGGGCCTTCAAAAAAAAAAAAAAATCACTTAACCTATATTGCTCCTAAGATACGCAACATAATCTTATTGAGTTTAAAAGAAAGAATAAATAATTAATACTAAAAAATGATTGTGAGCCGTTAAGCATTTTCTTTTACCACATATAGGACTCAATCTACAATCTAAGTTTTTTTAAATATACTACTTAGCTTCCCTCAGAATCTAAAACCACACATAGTTTTACACTTTTACAGTAGAATATTAAACAATGCATTGAAGAAATAAGAAGTTTGAAATTGAAAGAAAATGTATTATTTCTTAAAGATTAAGTAGGTACAAACATATTGAATGTCTTTAAATAATTTTATCATATTTATAAAGTTATATTATTGTTTGGATTATCTTGCTGGCCGCGAGAAAATTTAAAGTTAAAAACATTTTTTTAAATACTATGTAAGATATTATCAAAAATGCTTTGTTATGATAAACATGAGCCCCTCACGTGAAGCCGYAGTCTATGAAGCGGCATATCCGATATCCTGCATACCCCGTGCGCGAAAAGTAAGAGGACCTATGGAGGTTAATACTCAATACAATAATAAAAAWAATAATTAAATATGGTGAATGTGGAGAGCACGGGCCCTATGGGCCCTCCCTTTAATACACCCCTGGATTCTCGTGTATATTTTTAGGTTTAATTTTATAAATATTTATTTTTAAAAGTTGACGATTAAACCACATAAATCAGCAGCTGTTAAAATACGTAAATGTTTCAGTCAGTCTTTAATGTCAAACGATTTTTGTTCTTTGTTTATTGAAAACATAGTCCAATCTGGATCTAACACCTGCCAATGTGATTTTGTTTGTACCCTATTCGAGAGACAGAAGATCAATCCTTAATGTGGACATCCGCCAGAACATGTATTTATAAAAAGWATTTATAGAAATTTAATTTTTAAAGCGTTAAGTTAACATTACTCTGACATTAATTGTTCTGTTACAAACTCACTTAAAAACAACACACATGCCCACACACATTACAATATACACACTGCTCTCTTTTTGAGATTTATTTGGTATTATGGTATACAACTTTTGGCCACTGAAGAATTCTCAAACGTAAAAGTAAAACCCTAAARGATTTTCAGTCAATATATTATATTCACGCCAAATATTAGCAGCTCTCTATTGTACATTTGTACTGTATATATACTGATTAGTGATATCTGTTGAGTACTCTCTGTGAATGAACCTATRCATTCCAACACTATAACTATATAAACCTTCTTCTTTTACGGGTGAAAACAATTTTTTTTTKAGATTACTTGAATCGGCTCGCCTTGAGACAAATTCTAGGTTACCATCAGACAACTGTAAAGGAATTGTATAAGATCTACTTTCTCCCTAAACACCRTCCTAAGGGTAATGCCAATATTTGGTGACTTCTCTTTTTCCAACTTAAGTCAGATTTTATCATTAAATCACATATTTTTTAATGATTATTATAGTTTCAGTATATTAAAGTATTATTTACAAATTGTGAATATACTGGCTACGTTATTTATTTGTTATATTAATCAAAAAATACAAAGGAGGTTTCTGATACGATAACCCTTATAATATTCGTAAGTATTTTATTTCATTTGGTTTCTATTAGATTCCGTACCTACATACAAATATTATGCTCAGTATATTTCGTCATTGTACTTATATAAAAACTCATTATGATATTCCTTAAAACAAAAATCCATAAATCCATTTTATCCATTCTGGGCCTTCGTTAGCCAATAGATAAAGAGATAGAAGATAGATAACATCAACAAAGATAAAAAGACGAAACTGCTAAATGTATCTATATAGTATGATTTATATTATTGTAATACCAACAACGGACATAAGTTGGTTTTGTATTACCTAACAAACAGACAAACAGTAACTATAGGTAGTGTTATTAACAAAATATTTAATCATATTATTTATACTAAATATCAAAAGCTATCTAACGAATATAAAATTATTAATTATTATATTTCTACATAGCATTATAATAATTTTATGATTTAAAGTTAGGTATGCAAATTTTCGATCATTTCTAAAATATGGTGACCAGCCACGGCTTATGTTTTGACGTACTTATTCGTTGATTACTATTTTAATAGCGATATTATAATACGTTTGACTTTACTAAATTAAGCTCGTTAAAAAAAAAAAAAAAAAAATACTATAGTTAATTAGAAAATAAAACGTTAAATTTTTTGAGAATGAGTATATCAAATGTCTTATAAATAAATCACATGATTTAATAATAATAACATTAAGAACAGGGGCGTAATTAAGGGTGGTGGTGGGTGAGATAGATTCCCCCAAAACTTTTATTTTACTGCTAACATTTTATATTTGGTGGGATAGGTTACTGTACGAGGCTTACAGATTTTGCTAAAAACATATAATCCCCTCCTCCTCTACAGGACAAATTCTAATTACACCACTGATTACGAGGAACGTACGTAAGTTCTTGTTTAAAATGTATTAAAAAATATGAATTAGCAACGTTATTATGTAAGTTTCAGAATTTTCGATTTTGATTAGATATTTTCAAAAAGGTGCTTCTATGATTAATTCTGATAAACCCCAATGGTTTGAAAATTAAAAGAAATACCATAATTTATGAAACTTATAATTATATGTGAGTAAAATAGTTTTATGCTCAGGAGCATATATATTTWAAAAAAAAAATATGTAATTTTAACATACCTATACTGAAAACATATTTGGCTAAAGTAGGTAGTAAAATATTTAAAAAATGCACAATAATGTAGCGTTAAAAAACTGCAAAGAAGTAGTTACAAGACATATATAATTTAAAATTTCATGAAAAGTAACTTCGTAAGGAGTATGACTATTTTCAATTAATGATGTTTCAATGAATTGATTGACAACTCATGATTCTGAYGATAATTCTGTATGTCAATGCATTACACAGACTAGAAAAATATCTATACTCTAACAATTTTCAAGTATATTTGTTCACTATATTATAATACCTATATTATTTTCAGTAAAATATTATTAGTAAACATAAAATCACGGTATACATAAAAAATTATTTGTTTCAAAACCTCTTATCATTTACGAAAGTTAGAATTGTCTATAAATATCATCTTAGATAAAAATGTACATGACAATATTTAGTAACTGGAGTTTGAGATATAAATAATAAAATAAAACCAATTTAATAGGAAATAAATCATTACTATAATGACGATCATTTATATTTATACTTTTGTGTCTTAACAGAATAAATTAGTAATCTGTAAAAAATAACATTTTTTTGATGTATAAATGTTAACAATAATGATTGCAGTGTTGAAAAACTAACAACCGCAAGCAGGGACCTTAGCGAGGACTGGAGGCAGGTTGCATGGACCGGGTGGTGGGAAGCATGGTGCTGGACATCCGCATGGTGGAGGAATCAAAAACAATTGTGGTAAACCAACTGGGGTTTGGAATACAATATCAGGTTTTTGGACGTACACGCCGGGATTGAAGAATATTTTTGGTAGTGGMGCGGGTGGCAAAACGACTGGTGGAGTCGGTAATGGGGCTGGTAATGCGAAGAATATTTTGTTTGGATCAGGAGCTGGTGCGTACGTGACAGTCTGTTCTTTAATTACGTTTCCACCGTTTACGACGATAGGACCTGGTGCCGGTGGTGGAAGTATGATTGGTGCRGGTGCTGGGGCTTGCTTTAGTTTGACAAGCAAATTAGCGCCTGGACCGGCGGGAACGACGATTGGTGCGGCTTTTCCTTTGACTGACGGTGTTTGKATTATCACTGGTCCCGCTGCTGGTCCCGAAGAGATCACAAGAGGTGCAGGTGTGGGTACCGACAGGGTTGTAGCCACGGTCGGGGCAGGTCCAAAGGCCGGGGCTAAGGGCGGTGCAACTGGAAGTGGGGCAAGGGGCGAATATGGTGCTGCTGCCTTAAGAGTAGCTAATAAAGAGGCTAGTGCCGCTGGGCTAATAGGTGGAGATGGAACGCATGGTGGGACTGGAAGTACTGGTGGGGCTGGAAGTACTGGTGGGGCTGGAAGGGGTAGGGCTGGAAGACATGGTGGAGCTGGAAGGGGTAGGGCTGGAAAACATGGTGGGGCTGGAAGACATGGTGGAGCTGGAAGGGGTAGGACTGGAAAACATGGTGGGGCTGGAAGACATGGTGGGGCTGGGAGACATGGTAGTGGAGGACATCCATAACAATCACATGGTAAAGCTTCGACCTTAGTAAGATTGGAAAAGCAAGGTTTTTAGTTTTCTGTTGAATTAGATCTACTCAATAATAATTTAATTACTTACCTTAGTTAAACAAATCACCGCCAAAGCGAACACAAATCCAAAATTATTCATATTTTMTAATATTACTGAATGGAAAATTACGAATTACAGTTAATGATTCTCACAAAACATTAGTAACTAGATATAAGCTTTTATATAGAAGCAATTGTTTGTGTTTTCCACACTTCCACGTTCCTTTAAACTGATTGCCAGTGTTTATTAATTGATACGTTCAATAGAATATACAGTATATTATTGTTTGTTACCTAAAACATGACCAGTCATTATCCAATTGATTGCAACGTTTTAAAACCATTTTAGAATTATCACGCGTTTATTATTTTGTTTTTAATTATCTTATAAGTAGCTATACCGGATTATTACGTTTATAAAATATGTCATACTATGGTTCTTTAATATTACTAGTTAATTTTGGAATTTAATGTTGTTTCCGGTCTTTGTTAGATATTTTTTTCTTGTSATCATAATTATATAAAATAATTAATAACTTCAATGTTCAGGCCATTTTCAGGATTTTAAATATGTTGAAATTACTTTGTTTCGGTGATATAATATTAGATATTTTTTTATGATATACCTATCTAGGATCTACTTGAAATCAATTATGTGTTTGGTAGTGCAATATTATTAATAATATTATAAAATATACAATTTTGGTTACGGGATTCCTGATGAATGTAGAAGGAAAAATCATTATCGATTGTTATTATGGAAATTAATGTTGTTTTTAATTGAACTAAAAAACAAAATAATAAAATCACTGAAAAAATGAAGTTCAGTATTTATCGAAATGGACAATTTTTTATAWAAAAAAGACGTGCTTCTTATTTTACCATTAAATGTTTAATTTTTTTTCATCGTTTTCTCAAAAAATATTGAGAAATAAAATAAATTACTTGGTACCTTTATTGTAATCTGCTTTCAATTTAAATATTACATAAAATAATGAATGATGCATACAATTTTAATTATTAAATCGTATAACGCCCAACAAAATTATCTTCTAAAAAATGCCCGCAAATCTAAGTTATAGTTATTTTATCTTATACTAAAATTTCTTTTTTTTTACTCAGCAAACCAAGAGCTAAATATTATTTATTTTAGTTTCCATTTCAGGAATAAAAATTGTYCAACAAAAAATTTAGAGCGATAATAATGAATGAATACATCTATGATTAAAAATATGAAAATATGCAAATATGCAACTTACTATTATCCTCTACAGACAACATTATAATATCAATATTATCTTTTCAATGATTATTCTATAGTTTCTGTAATAWWRTAAAATTGTTAAACAGTTGATAGCACTTATCCGATCGGTTATAAAAAACGTGCTGACTTGGATAACAAATCGTAAATATTTTACGTATAAAAGCATAACCGGATAAATGGTTTWCAAGAATTTTTTGTCGTCATTTTAACGATCCACAGGTAACAAAATGATTTCATTGAGAGCAATAAGAGCCGCCGCAGCTTTAGCGATTATCTGTTCRGCCATGGTAAGGTATAGCATATGTTTAATATAAAAGAAAATAACTATAATATCACAACAAATTATTTTATTTTATGTAAATAAGGTCTTAGCCGACATTCCAGATACCCACGAATCACTTTCGTCGTTACCAGATAACCTACCCGACGATCCATTTCCAGATCATAGCAAATCCTTTAACTTTCCGTTTTTATCCCCTTTGCCACCTCTCATCAACAACTTTCCGCGCCCATCTTCTATGTTACCTTTTCCTTTTTCCAAACTAGAAAACTTATTTTCGTCTTCAATTCCCACATCACCATCTGCATCGGAAACACCACCTTCAACTTTACCTGAACCAAAACCAACTTCAACAGATGAATGAAGACAATTATTAAAACTCGTATCTAACAGGCGCAAAATGRTCTTATATAACGAACTTTTTATCAATTTTAAAMATACAATTTATAATTTAATATTAATTTCAGCAATAACAATTACCTACATATTTTAGCAGATTATTAATCATATTTTACGCAACTTTGTGCAAATTTTTTTACTTGTTTAATAAATTACATTATAGAACACATGTATTGAATTTATTATAAATATTATGTTTATAGTTATTATTTTATACCTACGATTAGTTTTAATAAAGAATGAAAATAGTTGTAACTAATATGTTTTATTAATACTACTTTGTAAACTTGTGAATATTTAACAATATCTTTTATCATATGACATTGCTGGTCATAAATTGTAACACAGCTAGGTATCATCATTTTTATGACATTTTAATTACAATRTTGTACTAACGTCTAACAAAATTCAATAATTAAGTTAATAAAAATAAATAAATATGTATAATACATCGTCTGACTATAATTATAGCAATCAGAATCTAATAAAGAGAATAATTTGAATACCCATATTGAAAATAATATGAAAATAAATTTGTATAAAAAAACTTATACATATGTACAATATCAGGGGCGTATTAAGATTTTTTTTTTTTGGGGGGGGGAGGGGACTGTGGTATTTTCTCCAACAGAAATTCCCAATTCAGCCTACATATGTTAGAAAATTTCCATCTGATAGGACATAATAAGCAGACTTCATAAACAATTCCTGGATTACGGGGGGAGGGGAGGGGGAAGGGGCTGAAGCCCTCTCATCCCCCCTYCATAAATACGCCCCTGTACAATATAAATACTATATAGTGACTGTCAATAAAGTCCACTTAATGCAATGTCGATAATATACTATTGCGTCTTACATAATAGCTCAAAAAGAAATATATGATGAGGAATAATATGAAATCTATTATTTAATTGAAAAATCAATTTACCTATCCCTAATCTTACAATAGTTCTGGTTATTTTTTTTAAACAAAAATTCACAGCCGACAACATTAGGTTGTAAATCAATAAGTATATGAAGCTTACCTCATGTTTTTGAATTATTGCAATAGATCGTGAGACTTTTAATTAGGTGCTTAAAATATTTGATATACTCAATATTATTATTTACTATAATACTATATTACTACTATAACATGGTTATCAACTGGCGTTGTTTAATATGCATGAATTGAGTGGATCATTTATTTATCTGTTTATGACAAAAGCTACAAATCTTGAAAAAATTGTTGGAAAAAAATCTTATAAAATATTGATTCGTAATAATTATGAAGCAAGCGTTGTGTTTATRTTACATATAATATTATATTAAACTTATAGATTTCATTTAATTATCTATTAACTAATACATCATTAAATTATTATAGGTTTTGATGGATGTGAACATAATGTGGAACATAATAAATTTAGAATATTTTAAAAATCAAACAACTATAGTAGGTACTATTATTTGGTTTTAATTTGATTATGTTTGACTTATGCAGTATTATATAAATTATGTACACAGCCACCACGTCAATGACCGTCAAAATATTAAAAAATAATCACAATTTATTGTTTCGGAGCATACTGCAGGCATGCCGGCATATCGTAGAAATGTTTTTGGATGTGTATAGAAACAAAAAAAWCATTTGCCTTAAACAGCAATAGGAACTACACTGTTGTTATAAATAGACAGCAGTGCCAGAAAAATAGTTTTACGGTGACACGGGAAGTAACACTATTATGACTTAAAAAAAGACTTAAATCATAACAATTAATTTCAAAAGGTATAAATTAAAAAATACCCATAGTAGATGGTTCGTTTAAATTTAAAAGATTTGATAAACCGCGGAAGATTTTTAAATTTGATGGCTCTCCTTATTTTCTTATTATTATATTATCATTGATTGAAATTAAATTAAATTTGTAATATTGTGCATTTCTAYCCATACTTTACTGTGGTACACACGGTATGTATTTACACATTTGAATGTAACAATATAAGATATTTTATAAATTATATTTATATTATATATTATTTATTTCCAAAAAATTTTCAAGCTTATTATTTTCTTTAAATATGGCTATTTGTCTAAGCAAATTTGTTACATTAGAAATCAAAAAAAAAAAAGGTATTTTATTGAACAAAATTAATTTATTTTGTAACCGAATAATGAATATCAAATATGTAGGTATCATACATTGTCAGAATGGTTAGGTGATAACTGAAGAAAAAAATATAYYTAAGTCATAAAATGTTGTTTGTGTAGTCTCTGTTTATGTTTTTACATCAAAATCTTAAAAGCAAGATTTACAATGTATAATTTAGGTACCAATAGGAAAAATATGATATGATGTAAAATTATTTTAAATGAATAACCAATATATTGTCAGTTACACATTTTTTGGAAAGTGTGTGATTAAAGTATAAAATTGATTTCTCGATAAAGATGGAATAATATATTTAGACATTTAGTATTTAATATTTATTTATGTGTTTATATTAATATAGGTTATATATAATTAAATATATACATAATCAGTMAATTAAATTTAATAATCCTTGAAATTGTACGAATACCACGATAATTCGTTTATTATTATTTCTTAAATGTTATAGATTTGTTTGTTTTTTTATTAGGTTTATTATTATAAAAGCCAACTTAATATTTRTKCRTATCTTTACAAGAATCAAATCAATTATTTACAATAAACAATAAAATGAATGATACAACATTTTACAAAACAATATTTTTACTATCTTATCTATAGCTCGAGTAAGTCGTTCTAAGGTATATCATAAAGTAATATTACTCTATGAGATATACTCAACGACGTTCCATTTATTGATACTATATTGTCGCACTGGTTTACGGTTGCATCACGTACAACGGTCTTACACTTGTGAAATCTTCTTCATTTATCATCTCACTATATTAAATGAAATTCAAATTACATATATAAGGAAGTGTGAAACACATTATGAGTGCATTAAGATTATATTCGATATCCAGTCAAGTCTTGGAATGAAGTGGTCGATTTTAGTTGCCTGCTTGATTGTGTGTCTCTTGGATTTTAAGGTAATTATATATAAATACCTATGGCAATTCTTTTGAGCGATCAAAACATAAACAATAATTTTTTTTCTATTTGTATACATATCTTTTTTGTAAACACTATAAAATAAACAACAATTGATAACAGATCGATTATTAATTGATTGTGTTATCCGAATAATATTATGCAATTATTTCTCGGACTAGAATTGAGAAACTTTGAATTAAATATTGAAAATTATTTWATTTTTTWAAATTAGGGTTCCGATGGGATTTCCGCGGTTCCTTGTTCCCAAGAAGGCTCAGATCTACAAGACAGCATCGTAAATGTGGATAAGTCTCCAGTCTGCACGKCACCATTAGGCCCCCTGTTAACCAATTTGTGTTCGACGTCAACACTCAATTCTCTACCCTCTTCAGCACTGGTGTCAATCGTGAACGCACTGTCAGCAACACCCGAGCTCTACAAAACGTTGCCACCTCCTACGCTTGTAGCCCTATTGAATGCAGTCTCGTCGTCTTCAACGGTGCTGAGTGAACTGTCACCAATCTCTGTTCTCGTCTTGCTTGCTGCTGTCTCTTCAGCCAGCCCCACGTCGATTTCCGGTGTACCACGAGACGTGCTGTTTCCGTTATTGAAGACGTTGTCCTCTTCCGGTTTACTACCACCAATTGGTTCTGTGAAATCGGACACAGTTTTCACCGAACTACCACCCTTGCCACCACCGGCGCCACAAATCATAGTTCCCGGCCYAGCCCCAGGTCCCTTATTCATAAACCTACCAAAAAAACAACCCAGACCCCCACCCATCATCGTACCAACTGGACCCCCACCATCCATCGTCGTGTCCATCCCACAACCTTACCCAGCCCCGCCACCTTTAATCATGCCGTACGGTACACCTGGTCCGATAGTGATTAATGAAGGACAGAACACTGATCCTCGGTCCTATCCAACTGCAGTATTACCTGCCCCCGAAGCGCAAAAAATATTTTTTACCACACATCCGTCAAAAGCATGTCTCAAATCGATCAATRGCAGACAGTCGCCACAAGATTATTGTAATTCACAATTTGAAATTCCAAAAGTGTATGCGTTACCACCAGGTGTTTTGCCTAACCAATATTTCCAGATTGCTAGAAAAGAATCCTAAAAAATTTATATGTCTTTAATATTTAAAACCATTTGTAAATCGTAACCAAATAAATAAACTGTGGAAATTTTTTATTAAAAATTGTTTATTTATCACCAACTATAGCTATATAACCTGAATTTGCTCGGTAAAAATGAACAAATATAAAATATGGGGATATGTTCTCGGGTATATTAGTGTGTGTGACACAGACTATGTGTACTGAGATTTATTGCTTTGCAGTTAAGTAATTCGACCGATATGGGTAATCAATAAATAGTGGAGTGGATTCTATTTTAGTGAGCCAAAAATATCCTGTATGAGCCTCCTATAATCTATAGAAACCTATATAGGTCGAATAAACACTTCCCGAGTATCAATAATATGTGTAAAAATATCGTGACAATTCATTAGTTTCCAAGTCGATAATTCTTATTCAAATTTATATACTCATATAATCATCTTTATTTGCATAATAAATATGATGTTATATTATAATATATTATATAATAAATATGATGTTATATTATAATATATTATATATTATATATTATATAATAAACATATATTATAAAGATTATCGTTTAAAAAGAGTATAATAAAGAGCGTATTTTAGCTGTATTCATAAGGATGAGGGGTTAACATAATCTTCCACACTTTTTAAAAGATCACAAGATTCTAGTAACGTCACCTCTCACACACCTTTTCACCACTAGGTGTAATCCAATCCTCGCAATCGAAATCAGTATAATATGATTAAGGGAATGATATTATTCTTAAGGTTATACACGCACTCGTATATTACGTTTGGAATAGGTACAAAATTATGTATGTTAAAAAAAAAAAATAACAATAAACTAATGATCACTTAGGTACTGAAGTTAGTTCATTGTTTGATACACACACAGTTTTATTAATATTGATGTAGAATAATATGTAGTAGTAACTATTAATCGATAGATAAATCGCAATAAATCCACGATAGAGTTACAAAAAGTCTATTGATAGAAATAGGAAATTAATTATTTAATTTTTGACTGATTAGTATTTTCTATTTAATTGGTTTTGTTTAAGATAATTGCTTAAAATAGTAAATAAAAATYAAGCCAATAAAAAATAACGCTCGAGGTAATTCTTTTGACAATAGACAGAATTACAAATTGGTCGCATTAAATTCATAACTTATATTTAGATACTAAATTTCAATTTAATTGTTTGTAAATAAATATAATAGATTATTTTATTTGGAGCTTCATATATTCATAGGTTAACACCTGTTWAAAACAAATATAGCAAATATCAGATAATTTTATAATTTAAATATAAATAAGATACTGATCCAAAACTTTTTGCTAGTAAACAAGAAGACACACGGAAGTGTAAGAGGAAATGATGGTTGGCATGGTGGTACTGCTAAGCATGGTTGTATTGCTAAGCATCGCGGTGGAGGTGGTTGGAGAATATAAGAATATAAGAGTTTAGTTGGYAAGGCAGAGGGCTTGGATAATTTCCACATGAATCTGCTTTAGCCTTTGTAATAAAAAAAATATGTTGTTAGATATTTAGTTCGATAAAATGTCATTATTACATTCTTACCTCGGTATAACAAGCTAATGCTAAAATCACAACTCTCTAAGTGATTATTTATTTTTTTTTACAAATTTATGTTACGAAGAGTTAATGAACGCAAGACATATTTGTCCGACTTTGATATAGGCTTTTATATAAGAAAAATACAAAAACATTGTTTTTTATTCGTTCACGTTCTTAAAATTGATTAGAAAATAACTACAATTTTCAATGATAGCTTATCATCTTTGTTCATGAGATATCAATAAGTTTACAGTCTTAGTTATCAAAAAAAAAAACATGTTACTAGTGAATAGTTAATAGCAAATAGATACATAAAATTAATTGATGATTACATATAAAATTTGATAAATCCTTCTAATGAATTAGAATAAAATATACGTTAAATAAGAACCGATATTCCTTGTCCTTTTCAAAATCCGAMCAAGTCTAATATAGTATAGCATGAACACCATAATTAATTTGAATTTGAAAATAAGATCACATACCTAGATTTTCATTTTAGTTTTGTATTATGGTTACATTACTCACTTGCTGTTTAGCCCCTATTATAATACACCGTAATATTTACCTACGTACAATACGCATGAAATATTATATTAAAAAAAAAAAAATTAAGACTCGGAAAAAAATTATTATGATAATTTCATAAATTTTACTGAAATTATTACTAATTTGGACAAATTAAAGTACTATTAAACATATTATTTTATTGGTCTAATAAGTCGCAAAAGAAATTTTATTTTTACATTGTGATTATTTGTGATCGAAATTAAGAAAAAAAACCATCGTAAGATAAAGTAATGAAAAGAATTAAATTCATAATTAAACAATTTAAATTTCTATATCTTTTTCTGCTTGTGTCATTCAGTGATTTTTTTTAAGTTTTAAATTCTTTCTTTTCCTAATATTCAATAACTCTTATAATTTCGTCTACGATTTTCGTCAATC